GCGCTTCGTCCTGCTTCGACACCTTGACGCTCTCACTATCAAATAGGAGGTACCCGTCGTTGCCGGCACACCTCCCCAATGCCTGCGCCCAATTGTGGACGGTCCACCTATCTACGTGCGGACGCAATCCGCGCGTAGGTTGTCGCTCCGCGTCCAGCCATTCGCGCACCATGTCTACACATATGTAATTACACCCCCACAGCAAGAAATCAAGTTTTCTTGCAATCAACCGCTCTTCAAAAGCACGCAACCCGTTCTGTGGAAGCCGGAGCGGCATCATCCGCAGCCTGTTCACCCTCGACATTGCGTTCTTGAACTTAGCCTGCGCAACAACTCTCTCTCCTCTCTGCTCGAGCTTCTTGCCTCCTCTGCAAACTCTAATTTCTCTCAATTTCAACTCGCGCGCACTCGAATCTCGCTCAGCCACCAAGTAATTCTCAGCGCGGCAATGTCTAGAGTGTCTAACAGCTAGCAGGTGGACGCGCGCAGCTCGCACTAGAAAGTGAAATCGCGAATTCAAGAATGGGGCGTCCTCCGTCTCCTTGTCGAAGGTCATGGTCGGCTCTCGGACGTGAAGGTCGAATCACTTGATGGCCGCGCCGGCTCCGCGCTATAACGGCCTCCCCTCTCACGCGCGGCTTCACGCTCCGCCGACGCCGACTTAACTCACACGCTCGAATTGGCAATTTGAACTCCGCTAGCGTACTACGCCGCGGACATGGGTGCGCAACGCCGAAGGCAGATTTCTCGCCTTGCGCGCTACACTCGTTCGTCCTTATCTTTGGCTAGTCCCGCTCCGCCGAAGGCGATCGTCCGCGCATCGGACAAAAATCGAACTCCCTTCTGCGTAGGCGGAATCCCCGGCGGAATCTCTGCCGGCGCGGAACTTCATCTGCCTGTGCGTAGGCGCTCGCCTACGCGTAGGCGAATTCCGTCCGCGTATCAGACGTTCGTCCGCGCAGGTCCCTTGCCGTAGGCGCAGCGCGGAAGGCGGCTGTGCCGAAGGCGTTGACTGCGGTCAACGGACTCCGTCCAGTCTGTCCATTTCTCTCGCCTCTCCGTCGGCGCTCTGGTCTCCGTAACCCCGACCGGCCGAAGGCGCACTCGTCCATTCCGTCCGTACAGTCCGTACGGTCCGTGCGGATTTTGCTACTCCGTTGGGCCCTCGCCCGTCCGCGATGCGCTAGCGCCGAAGGCGCCGTACAATTTCCAACCCCGAAGGCGCATTTCTAGGGCCGAAGGCAGATTTCCCGCCGACGCCGAACCCCATTTCGCCTACGCGTAGGCGGACTTCCCTCGTCCGCGCATAGGACAAACTTTCCTCGCCTACTTGTAGGCGAGAAGCTGTGTGTCTTGCGACCTTCATAACTCCCGAAGTCCTCATCCGTTCGTGGCGTTCTTGGGCTCGTTAGAATCAGCGCGTTGAGCTCTTTTCAACGAGACCCTAACCAAGTCAAGGCGTTTGGGAATTGACCAGGTTCTGAAAGATTCCACTAGCGCCAAAGGCGCAGCGCCGAAGGCGGATTTCGCGCCTTGCGCCGAAGGGGTACTCCTTCAGAGCCCGTGTTTAGGGCGGCGCCTGTCCCAGACGTTGCGCCCAACTCCTGGATTCTACGAGATCTTTCGAGATTCTCCGAGATCCTCCAATTTCACTCTATTTTGGTGCACCGATGGCTATTTACACTGCTGCCGCGGTACAGTTTTCCAAAAATGTTTTAAATTCCTCAAAAATACCAAAATTGGGGTACCACAGGAAGTCCAACCCGGGTTCCCCACGCTAGCAGAAAGCTAGTGGAAGGGTTGTAAAAGCCGGAGTTGGGAGTCACTACCCGCAGATTCGCTGAGTGTACTCGCGAGAGACTTTCCCCCCTGAAATCTTAAGTAGAGGTCCTAACCGATCTCTGGGTTGTGTTTCTGTAGTTTGAGGTGTGTGTGTGTGTGTGTTGAGTGAACTACGCTGCACTGTGCGACCTCCGAGTGAGCTCCGAGTGAACACTTGTAGTATTTCTGGGAGTGACAGTCGCCTGAGACTTCAAACTACTCAATAGTCTGTTAAATGTGACACTTTGTACCCTGTGTGTTGCCTCTGTCCCTGTGGGTTCGACCTTTCTACCACTATATTGCAGTTTTAGCCTTTAGTGGGTTATTACACACTGTCATCAGCAGATATCCCCCAAGATGTCGAAGAGGTTAAGAATCAAGTGTATTGCTGAATCGCATTTATTTCGTATAAGATCGTTCATCATTTCAACCCTCTATCATTGGATAAGTTGCATTGAAATCCTGTGAACACTTGCTCAGACTGCCTGGGAGGACTTACAGTGTATATGTTTTGATTAGAGAGGTAAAAGTAATAATGGATTCCCTTCAGGAATGTGGAAAATCCTTCACTGTGAATTTTATGCACATGTTACTTCTGCTCATGAGCGAAGACATGGCGTTCTACTTACAGTAACGACTTTTGCCGATTGGGGGGGGGGGGGGGGGGGGGGGGGGAGTGAAATGACGCGTGCACCGACCCTCAACTTCTACGTTCCCAAATGATGGGGCTACATTTTTGGCATTTTTGGACGTAAGATCCAATGCCAGCCTACAACAAGCTGCAACATTCTCCTGGCTCGGAAAATAAATCAAGAGGACGCGTGCAAATGCAACAATGCCATTCGTTGCCGGTTTGCTTTCTGCGAAGGAGCAACGTTCGTATCTGGATGAAAAGGATATTGAGACTGACATCCGATTGGTCATGAGAGGAGACGAAGGAAAGCACGCGAAGCACAGGGCAGTTGTGCTCAGGGGGAAAGCGGCATCAGCCGTGTATGAGGACGAGGGAGAGTCGGAGAGAAACTGGGAAGCATTGGTAACCAAATTGCAGCATATTCACATCTAGTAGATCGGGCCCGTTGTACGCATCACAGCATCTGGCATTGGTCGTCAAACTCAAAGTCGGTGATCCAATGAATGATCAATTTTCTTTGCCTCGCTGAGATTATTTTTCGAGCCGCTAATGTCTGGTGTAACTCGACAGTAGGCAAAGATGGGTCTCGGGATTTTAGAATTACCTGGAAGACATGTGATCTGAGTCTTCAACCACCTAAATTGTTATTGATTCCTGAAAATCCATTCATGAATTTGCCAGAAGAGAGAAACTGGGAAGCAGTTGTAACCCAATTGCAGCAGGTTCACAAATATTCTTTGCCTCGCTGAGATTGTTTCTTCGAGGCGGGAATGTCCGGTTTGACTCGATTGTAGGCATAGATGGGTCTGGGGATTTTAGAAAGATGTCATTTGAGTCTTCAACTAGCTCTTTTATATTGATATCTCAAATTTCAATCAGGAGTTTGCCAAAACGTGGCTTCACTCGCTACTCAAAAATTTGAACGGCTCCACCTTAGAGCGAGATTACATCCTCGGTCAATGAATTGGATTTTCTGATGTGACCACAGGAATTCTCATCGTCGGTGACATGTCTCCCGATTGAACACCAACTTCCGAACATGCTGCATAGTGTGTAACACTTCCCAATGCACGTGCAATGTCATGTCAAATTTCGGTAATAATCGTTCTTCTCTATTTTATCGTTATTCTGATAAAATAATCCAAAGTTATATATTCAAAAATTTTATATCGTAAAAGCAATACACAGTCATAAATGAGAAATGAGTATGACCGAGTCAAATCTTGATCACAGGACTCGTGGGATTTTAGACTCATCCAATTCTACCTGGTCTACTCATGTGGTCCAATCTCCACCAAGTAACTGTTGACTCTTCCCCAGTCACCGAGTTCTCTAAGAATTATAAATTCACACTTCGAATCGTACTTCTCAAACCGATTCATTCATTACCTCACGGAGTCCCTCGGCGCATAGTTTGATCACAAAGTGTGCAAACATCATGTTCATCTCCATCAGCGCTTGCAAGTGTCTCCGACTTCTCCCGTATGTGATTAAACCTTTCGTTTGAGTCGAGAGGACCACTGCGTTCTCCTTTCTGGAATTTCGAGCCCTTATCTCGGTGACCAGGCGAGAACGAAATGGCCAGCTCGACTGCCTTGTGGAGTGCACCAGCTTTCAATAGAACGAATATCAGGGATGGCATGCAAGCGAAAAGAAGTTGTTCGTCCCACCTTCTTCCAACTTGGACGCCCGGGGTTCATTTCCCATTCTCCAAACACCAGCTTACCGCAGCCGTGGCCCCAAGTAAAGAACAAGCCTGGCACTTTCTTCATACTTAGATCGTCTAAGTCTGATGATCATGAGTGGTGGGCATCACATGAAAGATTCAGATGAATGCTCCATTCAGGAGTCATGAGAGGCCACTTTCACGTGGAAAGGAAGACCAGGACGATTCGGATTTGCAGTTGGTTCTTTGTTAAGATATTCTAGAATTATTTTTATTAGCTCCTTTAAAAAACCTCAGCTTATTATTTATCCAGGCTAACCGTATCATATTACAAGCAAGTTTTCTTCATTCTTTAAGTCTATGTGATTTGATTACAAGTAGCTCTGTGAGAGTGAGAGCAAATTACATGCACTGGGGGTCCTTGATGCACGAGTTGATTTCATGGTGTTAGATGCTGGTTCGATCTAACGAGCAGTGAACTGTTACCTTGTCTGTTGATGTTGTTTCGGACAAAGAGATACGAGAATTTTCAGAGGTTTTTGGGCTTTGAACGGAATGCCTCTGCTTTCAGAGCTTCGAAGTCGAGCCACCTTCGAGCATATGGGACTGATGATTCCACTTGTCAGTTGCCTACCTGCACCTGTGCAAAGTTTCCAAAAAATTTCTACATGTTCTTTTGAAATTCTTGAATCAAATGTATAGTCTTCACGTGTTCAAAATGAAGACTTTTGAAGCCCGATACCTCTACGTGATCTCCTTTGAAGCTTTCAAAACTTTCCGACGAGAGTCTCAGGGGTCTGATTTAGATTTGTGTGTGCAGATGAGACCAAGGGGTTGGCAACGCTGGAGAAAGAACTACCATCCCAAAACTCTGTTGCAATGCAGAAAGATATGGAATCGTGGATTGAAGAGATTCGAGAGATGTTTCGAACCTTGGATTGGGGAGAGGAAAGCCCTTCACCGTATGACACAGCATGGATTTGTCTTATACCAGCTGTTGACGGAAGCGAAGGCCCTCAGTTTCCAAAGAGCCTGCAGTGGATAGTAGAAAACCAGTTCGAGGATGGGTCTTGGGGACTTCCAGACTTTTTCAGAGTCTCCAACAATGTACTCAACACATTAGCCTGCCTCATCGCTCTAAAGAAGTGGAACATTGCCCCGGACTCGATAATAAGAGGTACGTGTACACAATCCTTCTATTCAGATAACTGATAAATGTCACCATTTGATATACCTGCCATGCCCGGATCATCCTCGCAACTACTTTGACAAGGTACCTCGGTTATTATAAACATGCCCACTGTCTATGAAGCAGCTGATTACTGAGAAACATGTCATTGTGAAGGTGAAAACTTTCTGCGGAAGAACATGGACCAAATGGAAGATGATCCAGAAAGGACTTGTGGTTTCGAGCTTGCCTTTACCGCACTTATAGACGATGCAAAGCAGCTGGATCTGGACCTTCCTTACCATCTAGAATTCATCGAGCAAATGAGAGCAACAAAGGCGAAGAAACTCCAGAAGTAAGTACGACCATTTCATATATTTTTAAAGAAGACAGAGCTTTATGTACTGCAGCTTATAAGAAAAGGAACGCGCATAAGCCTGCTAATACACAGACATTCATGCAAGTCGCCAGCACCTTTGCTTACTTTCTTCGGAAATCCAAGTCCTATCTATAGGGGAATATGACCGATCAATTTCTCTGATTCAGTACGGGAGATTCTTAAAACCTTACCCAGTGAGGGTCGAGTATCGTCGCTAAAAATGTCGACAAAGTGGAAAATGTGCAGACTTCCCCTCGATGTCGTGCACAAAATCAAAACAACGGTATTATACTCTTTAGAGGGAGTTCAAGACATCGTCGACTGGGAACAGATCCAAAACCTGCAGTCGGAAAACGGAAGCTTCTTGGAATCCGTTGCATCTACTGCGTGTGCTTACCTGCGCACTGGAAATAAGAGATGCCTTGAGTTTCTGACAGCGGTATTGGCGAAAAACAACGATACAGGTGCTTCACGCTGATCCTCTCGACCCACCGTCTGGCTTTCTACGCAGTGCTGCGTCCACGTTATGTTATGTCCATGCAGATCTTACAAGCGAAGTATTGTGTTGGTGGTGCAGCTCTGACGATTTATCCCGTCGACATTTTTGAGCCATGTTGGATGGTCGACAGACTTCAGCGCCTCGGACTCGCCCGATACTTCGAATCTGAAATCGACGCCTGTATGCAATTCGTTTACAAGTATTTTTTCGTCTTTCCTTGTCCCGGAAGTGAATTCGTCGACTTAAATCCTGCCATATGTCGTACATAGTCGTACGCTAGACCCGACCATATTCTATATTCAAGCTGGGCATGTGACAGATTCTATCACATGTCCGCCACATTCGTGGACGCAGTGGCCTCGGAGTTTCCATCTCTCCTACTGAATTTGATCTCCGTGTGGACATCGACAGACAATTCAGCCAGGAGAATGGACGTGTAGGGTGGGTGGCAGCTAAAGGCGCTTACACTGACATGGATGACACGGCCATGGCCTTTCGCCTGCTGCGTCTGCATGGCTTCGACGTGAACTCGAGTAAGATCCTGTCCTCCGGTGACGAAGAAAATTGTAGGCTGCAAGCGGAACAATGGTCGGCTTCGTTGTCGGGAGACGCAGAGGTCGAAATTTGGAGAGGAGTGGATGACATGGGTGTTTCGATTCTGAGCAGCATGCGTGACTTGACTGATTTGCAGCCGACAGTTTCGAGTGGTATAGAACTCCAGAGGGAGGGTGGTGCTGTTTGCCAGGCGAGTTGAGCTTAGGTACGACCAACCTTTTCAGCTTCTTCAGAGCATGTGAAACCGGCTTCCCGGAGGAGGCGGACCTGATCGAGGGGCTTGCATGGACAAGGAAGCTTCTTCTGGACAGGTTCAAGAAGAACGACTTGAGGGATAAGTACGTCATATCCAAGACCTTGGCTTCAGAGGTAAGCATTACATCTCGGAATTCCTTCCTCTTCTGAATTGACGACCGAATGGCATCCTCTGCGGCTCCCCTGCAATTGCGCTCTAACATTTTCGCCCACTCTCGGGCTCTGACTCTTGCCTCTCTCATCACTGTGCGTTCAGACTGACGTGCACGCTTCTCCGAGCTGATGATGATGAGATGGGATGGATCTTGCAGGTTGTCACTGCGCTTGCGAATCCTTGGTCGCAAACAATGCCTCGTATGGAACACAGAGCGTATATCGATAATTACGGAACGGACGACGTATGGATTGGCAAGGTTCTCTATAGGTTCGTCTCCGTATGCTTCCGATCTACGTCGTTGAGTGTCTCCGGGTCCTCACCTCAGCACTCTGCCTAGAGAGTTTCGGATGCCAACGCTGCCAGTATCATCAATCGTTGGGATCAGATCGAGCGCACAGTGCGCCGTCCTACCAAGCAAACCACAACTATCGTTTGCTGACGAAGTATTACGTCTGTGCATTATGTGTCAGATTGCCTAAAATTAACAACACCACCTTTCTGAAGTTAGCCAAAGCGGACTTCAACATGTGCCAGAAGAAACACCAGGAAGAACTGAAGGGTCTGCTGAGGTATGACTAAAATCATAACTATTAAAGAACACAAATGATTGTCTAGAGAGTGCGTTTTATTTAAGTAGTTTTGCTTTTGCTATGGGGCTGTTCCTAGACCGCCGGTGATGTAACTATGGTTTCTCGGCATTGACCTCACTTCGTACAATTGCTGGCATTGGCTTCTCTGTGAACGTCTTAATATTGTACATTGCAGATGGAATCGAGAACTCGTGTTCAAAAGCGAACGCTGTGCAGACGACAAGACCTTGATTATCTGCTTTTTCGCTGGAGCTGGTTGTCTTCCGGCTCCGCAACTTAGTCTGGCCAGAAGAGCATTCACGCAGCTGTGCCTCCTCACCGTTCTACTCGACGACTTTTTCGATTCGACAGAAGAGTCCCTTGCCGCAAAGGCCCAGTTTTTTGCAGCTTGCAGATCGTAAGTGTTATAGCTCTCTTGCTCGGTGGCCTTCTGAGAGACGAGCGAGGACTAAGTGCTCTAGTTTCCTGGCAATGTTTTCACTGACAGGGTATGCATACGGATGGATGCTATATGGTCGTTATTTCCCTCATCTGAGCTGTAATCTCTGACTGTGAACTTGAATGTGCCAGGAGGGATCCGAAGCTGATGGACGGAGCGGGCAGCAATGCACAGCTTTTATTTGAGTCCATGTACGGTATTCTCAGTGATGTAATTGTGGACGGCAGCTTCCTGCAAGGTCGGGACATCAGTCAAGCAGTTTATGACGCCGTAAGTGCCCTCACAGATCGGGCTGTTTATCATCTTTGCTGACCCATACAAAAGACTGGTGTGAGTTATTAGTGCACTAGAAATCTGGTCTCGTGGGACTGTATCAAGCCTTGAAGAGAATGTACAGATACATGCTCACTTTAGCTCTATCGATAGCTTGTCCCATCCAAAAACCAGATGAGACATCTATGCTTCTGTCTTTTCGTTGCTGAATCCCACAACGCACTCAGATGCCCATACATGTGACAACGGATGCCAGAATAGCAGAAAATCTGGTGGTTTCCAGCTCTACGTGGGCTAAATCGTGTTGACATTGTGATTGAATGAAACTCGGGAACATTAAGCGATTCACACCCATTAAGTTGATTCTTATCGATATCACGTGACTTTTCGCCCATGACCAGTGGTTCAGGCTCGTGGAGTGCCATTTGAAACAAGCCGAATGGAAAGATCCGAATATCCAACTCTCGCTGGAGGAGTACTTGGAGGTTGCAGGAGTTTCAATATCGATGGAGGCGGTGGCATCGGTTGTTCAGTACTTCCTCGGGGAGAACATCACTGAGGAGATGAGCCAGAGTCCACACACGAAGAGACTGACCAAGTTAATGAATACGATCACGAGACATACTAACGACATGGCAACTTTCCAGGTACACACACCTTTCCATATTCTCCCGTCACAGCTGTTTCATCTCCTTCCATCTCATCCATTCCATTCCTAGCTCAGATGCCAATGCGAGTCCATCACCTTCGTGTTGTCTCTGCAGAAAGAAAAACTCGAGAACACACAGAACCTTGTATCCATATCCACACGAGATGGTGCGACGCACTCGCAGGTCCTTGAATCGTTTCGTAAGCTGGTGGACGACCAAATGAGGCGGCTTGTGAAGGAGGTTTTGTGCCCTTCTGAGACTGACGGAGTGCTTCCCAAAGCCGCCAGGCAGTTCTACTTCGATTTCGTCAGAGCAACTCTGTACTCTTACTCGGCAGACTTACTCCTTACTTCGGAGGTGTCTGAAAGAGATGGCATCGCTTTGCCCGCATTCGAGTTACACGATTTGGCCCGCAAGATGCAATTCGTCAATCGCATTTTATTCGAACCCGTGCTCTATTGAATATAGTTGCCTCTCTCGAACTCTCGACTTGGCTTAGCGCCATGTTGAACTACCATATTCTCCATGAAGTCGCGTCAATCACGTAGAGCAGGGCTGAGGGCGTGGCAGTCGTACAGCTAATATGATTTACAGGGCTTGAAAAAGTGGATTGATTACAGAGTTTGAGCAGTTCTAAGGCCTATAAAATATGCGAACATGCAAGCTTGGCGACGAAATGTTCAAAACTGTTGTATGAATAAATGCCACCATTTGCAAACGCTTGAGAAACAAAAAGTACTGAATTTGATTCATTCACAGCCAACTTGTATCACATGGAAAAAAATTCACAATGTTGAGAATTACTAGTTTCACATTGTGTTATGACTGGATGAAAGGGTATAAACTTGTTTTTGGTTTCACGTTCAAAATGCAGAATTTTCTCCATTTTAATGTAAAATACTCCAGACTGTAAAATACATTTTCACTTCTGAGAAGACTTTTGGGAAGAAATGTTATATATCTTCCTATCGCTACAGCATAACCTCTATTCACTGAATCCAAAGTAAATGCACTGCCCAAATCTTCATTAGTTCAATCCTGGGACACGAGGAGAGGCGCTAAGAAAGGACGCAAGCTCTTTTCGGAAGTGGTAGCAAAAAGCCGAAATAAAAATATCCTCTTTTGCGGTCCGAGCGCCAGCCTGCCCTTATGCCCTATGGGCGTTCAACGAAAGCAAAGCTCAAGATTGTTGCTCTGGTTTTTTCTGATGGGTTTGGCAAAAGCATATTTCGTCACCAAACACTTCTAGATCTTCGATCCCAAAATGAATACTTGCTTGATTGGTGACTGACACTCTTTTCAATTCATGTTGGAAACAAAGTATGGAGTTGTCAGTCCTGTATCCACCTATGACCTTGATTTGATGTTCTTGTATCACTGAAAATTGTATAGCACTCCCACGTAATGCATTAAAAGTATAATTATATTTGTGATTTAATTGACTAAAGGTCATTTTTAGTATTTTATTGCTATAGTAATGTTGTCACATAATTTGTGAGGCCCTCGTACTCAGTTTCATGAGGCCCGTGAGCATAGTCATTGCTAAAGAGTGAGGAGAACATATTGATTTTCATGGTGCTGCACGAGACTTCTCGTCTTTCGATTTGAACCTCCAAAACTAAAGAAAGAAAATGATTGAGAAAATAAAAGCCGCAATACAAGCTTTCTTACCAACCCCATCACCGCCGCCCACAATCCGCACGGAAACGGCGTGCGCACCGTTAGTCTTTGTTTCCGTACATTGACTAGACCGTCAACACCAACGAACTTTCGGCTGAGCTGCCTGCGGCGCACCTTCGTCTTTCGTGCTCTCATCGTCGCAACAAAAATCGAAATTCTTTATGTTGAATTCGTATCTGCAGGCAGCCTTGTGCTCGGCAACGACGCGAGATGATTTATAAACCTGCCAGTGTATGTGGACCCAAATGCGTGTAACAAGGTGTAAAGGGGAAGACTCAAAAAGATTAAATTTATTATATCATTTTTAGAATAAAAAGTGTACTCATTTTTATTCTAATAGTAATAGATAGATTTACACGAGTGAGTGTTTTTAAATGAGTATACCATTTCCATTCTACAAAACATTATGGATAAAGTTTTCAAAATATAAATAGAAAATCATTTTACTATTGTCTTCCTAATAAAAAATACATTGATTCACACACGTGACTGTTTCTAAATGAGTGTATCATTTCAATCTACAAAACATTATGGATAAAGTTTTCAAAATATAAATAGAAAATCATTTTACTATTGTCTTCCTAATAAAAAATACATTGATTCACACACGTGACTGTTTCTAAATGAGTGTATCATTTCCAATCTAGAAAAAATTATGGATAAAGTTTTCGAAATATAAATAGATAATCATTCTATTCATTTTTTATTCTAAAAGTAAAAATGATAGATTCACACACGTGACTGTTTCTAAATGAGTGAATCATTTCCAATCTACAAAACATTTTGGATAAAATTTTTGAAATATAAATAGATAATCATTTTATTCATTTTTTATTTTAAAAGTAAAAATGATATGTTCACACGTGTGACTGTTTCTAAATGAGTGAATCATTTCCAATCTACAAAACACCATGGATAAATTTTTCGAAATATAAATAGATAATCATTTTATTCATTCTTTATTCTTACAATAAAAAAGATAGATTCACACACGTGACTGTTTCTAAATGAGTGTATCGATCCCAATCTACAAAATATTATGGATAAAGTTTTTTTAATTTAAAGAGATAATCAATTTACTCATTTTTTATTCTAATAGAAAAATAGAAAGATTCACACACGTGATTGATTTTAAATTAGTAGATCATTTCCAATCTACAAGATATTTTTGATAAAATTTTCGAAACATAAATAGATAATAATTTTACTCGTTTTTATTTTAATAATAAAATAGATAGATTCACACACGTGAATATTTTTAAAGTCATTATTCTTTATTCATTATTGTAAATTAGAATTGAAATCAATCCACTTTACCAAAAATTCTGGATAAAGTATTCGAAATATCACATTCTGAACCCGTGGGCTACGTTAAGGAATATAGGGGACAGTGGTCAATGTCTGGTCAGGAACTTCTTGGTATCAAGTTAAAATTATGATAGGTAAATTTCATGACTTCTTATGAAACATACTATGTTAATAAGTTCATCTGGAGATAACTGCTTGATGATGTTAGGCAAGCTTCCCATTCTAAAGCAGTTCCCTCATACTCGCTAATGAGAGTAGAAAAATTATAGAGTTTCTACTTCTGGAGCATTGCCTAGTTGCTGTCAGGAAACGGGGATGAACACGTCTAAAGCGGATGAAACGATATTCCTGCAATTGCAACCTCCCGATCTTGAACTTAGCACATCAAATTAAACTTGGCGAGCACAGTTGGTTTATGAAGGTTCCATGGAGTTAATATGTAGAAGCTACGAGAGGGGAGTCAATTAAAGATGGGATCGAACCTTTGATCCAACACGGTCATCGTGATCTGCCCACTTCATTACTTGACCTCATTCTTTAGCCCATATCTCACTCAATAGCAATATGATCGGCTCCTTTTACACCCTATAATCATGATCACAACGAATTCTAGTAAAAAGCTTGAACTCACTTAGTAAAGTCATACTTCACCTAGCTTTGACACGATAATATCAGCGTACTTATACGCTGACGTGCATTATATTAATCATCGTGCTGTAGAATTAAAACATATACATCAAACAAAGACACCTTTGTGCTAAAAATACATTACGCTGGGAATTACATAAGGAGATTCAATTCGTGGTCTTAAGTGTTTGTCCCACTTGTTGCTTCTACGCTCAGTGTGTAGCAATGTTTGATATGGCTTGTGCAAATTGCTAACATCTGGAAACCTTGCTAAGCGCTTGAGGTTCAAAGTCAACATGCAGAAGTTTGTTCGAATTCATTATACAATCGGCTAGCAAGTTGCTTGCGTCTTTGAAAATGTTTACAAGAACTGATCATCCTGAACCAGAATTCTCTTCTTCAATATTAGACATAAGCACAAATGAACATTTTTCCAGAATCCACACCGATCATATTCATAATTTAATCATAAATAAATAGAATAAAAAAGCCTGAACTTTAAGCTCCAATGACATGTAGCTACTGCACTAGCTAATCTTTCTCGATTGCAAACTTTCCAGGACTTAGTCAGCGCAATAATTTTCCTATGAATCATCATTAAAACCCTATTCCTTTATGTATATAGTTTTTAAAGAAACTTTTGACTAATCAAATGTCAAATGGAAGATACATTTATTGTACTACCTACAAGAATTTCTGACAAAAATCTGCAAAACCAGACATAGTAATATAAATCCAGTTTTGCTTGTGGGCGCGGACACAAATAAAGGTTTTATTATATCTGAAATAAATTTCATTACCACATAAACTTACTAGAAGTCCAACAGCTGAACACAGAAATAATCATAGATCAATAAGCTCTATAATAATTATAATAAATTTATTTAACAATAAAAATTTATATAAGATTAAAAAATCTCTAAAAGTTAAAATTTTTACATAAAAAAAATGTTAAGCTTTACTTCGCTGCAATATTAATTAAAATAATCTTGTATTCATTACAGTACAAGAAAATAATGGAAAAAATCTCAATTTAATCTTTCTATCATTCATTCTTGATGATTTTACTTGTGCACATGTCTAGGAATATATAATTTGATCTTTGTTTGACACCATGAATAATTTGATAATGATGAGAACTATATCTAACTTTACTACATCTTCTTGATCAATGGAACTTATTGGACTGAACAAGCCCAAGCATAGTGATAAACTTAGATGGTGCAAAATAACATTTAAGACAGTGATGTGTTTCACTCTGTGCTTCATATTTGTTTGGAGAATTTTAATCCGAAAAAATATTTGTTTCTTTGATGATTTATTAGTATGGTTAAAATAAAGGCCTGTGCAAATATTTTGTTACAAAGTTTTGCAAATCAATTTACCTTATCAATTCTAAACATCACATTAAGTTTAAAAAAAACTTTCAAGATGAATTTTTATGAAATCTTTGTTAAAAATGCATGAACTTCCAAAAAGAGTTAGCTTTATACTAATAACTCATAGGAGAAATTCAGCATTAAAATTCAGATATATTGCTATATTTATGATTTCAAATCCAATATTTCAATCAGAACTGGGATTACAATTTATGATGAATTTTCACAAAAAATATTTCCAATGGATCAGCGAATAATTTCAATGGTAAAAAGATATCAAAACCCCTCAAAAAGCACATTTGATTTAGATATCACAATGATTTGAATATTTGGATCGAATAGTTTCAAATCTTTCATGGGATTTGTTAATACATTTTCCTCCCTTCCGTTTGCACTGATTAATCCGAGTCACAGTCACCGACACCCCGTCTACGCTGTAGAAGATCTTCAGAATGCAGTTCTAGGATTCCAACCGGGTAAAGACTGCGCAGTTCGATAATTTGTGTCTAAACTTCAGAACCTTATTGTCTAATGACCACTTATCGTGGCCTTAATGACACGTGTATATATCGAAGATAGCCAGCTGTCCCTGTCTATCGCCTTAATACAGTAATGTAAAGATTTGGCCCATCGACAATTTGTGCACTTCACTGTTCCCGCGCTGGCATTCGAAGCGAATTCAAAATTCTCGTTCGTGCTCACTCCGACGAGCAAGAACGCCGTAGCGCACGAAGGGCAGTTCAAACGAGGTCTCAACTGGCAGCGATGGCGTGGGGCTTCGATTTTCTTGCTATGATTTAATCTTTCGGTAGCACTTGATTAGAGGGTTCTGGAGCTCAGACGTTGTGGCAGCCGAGGGCATTCGCTGCTTCGTCGGTCTTAGGGATTTCCTTGTACTCTTCCTTTTTCTCGATTTGATGTTTCGTTGATTTGGGAGGGTTGTCGTGATCATGGCGTTGTCGAGGAAATCCGCGGCGGCTTCAAGCAGGGCCTCACGGCGGCCGTCGGCCGATCCCTCTGCGAGGACTTCGGAGAGCCCTTCTGTTTGCACGAGGTCCAAGAAATTGCGCTCCTCCGAGAACGTCGCTGAGGCTGCGGGGCGCGAGAACGGGGATCTCAGCGGATTGAGCACCAAGCAGTCTCGCATAAGCGGGGGGAATTGCAACGGAGTGTCGGGAGATTCGAACCCGGTCAGGCAGGCGCTCGCTGGAATTCAGAATATGCCGCCGTCGTTTATGACGCGGGCTAGGAAATCTCGAACCGAGCAACGTCTTGCCAAGGTGTTGAACTGGAACGACGGTGGAATTCGAAGCTCCGCATATGCAATTCCTTCGCAGGAGAGCCGCTCAGGTCAGAACCAGAATGAGAAGAAATCCAGTGAAGCTGCTGGATCTTCGATTGTGCAAAGAGAGAGTAGTATTTCCGGCCGTGCGGTTTCTTCTGTCCGGATCTCCTCAAGCTCTGATGCTTCTTTCAGCCCCTCTGGCATACCCACAAGTGACAAAGACAGTCGCGTCGATTGTACTGAGTCCGATGCGCACAATGTGTCTCCATGTCCTTCCGATACACCGAATTTTTCTGAAGTCAATCCTTCATCACTCGATGATGATGTCTTAGACGTCTGTGTCCGTCAAGAAGATGACGTAGAGCAAAATTCAATTGGAAATTCCGGTAGTCAGGCTTCAATTTTATCTGAAGCCCGTCCCTCTTCAGTTGAGGGCAATATCTTGCTCGCATCGCAAGGTACTCCACTTCACCCCATTCCATTCCATTCATTGTCCGGTGTGTAAATCTTAACGACTTTCTTTCCGAAGTCCTAGCGATGAAGTTTCTTCTGTTCCCTTCTCATCTCTCTGTATAAATTTGACTTTCTTCTTGTGATTACAGTGACACCTGCAAGACGAGTGCTATCTAGGCTTGCGATTGATGGTGTGCGAACTCCTGAGCACCTGGTGCCTGCTCTTGGAGGCGGCCTCTCACCAAATAATGATGAAGCTGCATCTGAAGGAATTTTTCGAGTTTATGAGCGTCGAACGAGTGAGCAGCCTGCGAAGATATCCAATCGCGCTAAAACTTGTCCTCAACTGAGAGGCAGTTCCACAAGGTATGCGTGGGTGCCTTCACCGCTTCTCCGCCAAAATGTCCCTACGGTGTAATCGTTACCCTCCATTCGGAATTATCATGAGTTGCAGTTTATGCTTAGATTGTTCATAATCTTCGTGTAAATTGGATGGTGAAATTAGAGAACGTTGGTGCACTGGTGAGTTCTATCCATATGCATCCCACTGAAACATCCTTTGACCTCGAATGCAGTTCCTCATCCATGATAGGAACACATCATTACTCATTAAGGCATCTCAAAGACTTTTCTACACCCCAAACGAAGGTCCGGCATGGTAGGAGAAAGACTCCAAGCAGCCAAGTTCAGGTACGGCCAATCTCTCAAGGCTCAACTCAGGGCATATGTACTAGTTTAGGAAATTGGACCTATGAACAAGAAAGTTGGTTCATCAAGAGTGGCAAAGCGATTGTTGATGTGGGCTGTCACTGTCTGTTTGGTCCTTAGCAATGTGTTTCACATACGTATCCATTTCTTTCGCAGAGCAACATGTTACTTCCAGAAAGTTATCGTGAGGAAAAATGTGCCTACTTTGCGGAGGTGGATGCATTCGAACTTCTAGAGGAAGAAGCCGATGAAGAGGAGTTGGAGGAACCTACAAAAAATTCTGCAGACATTGAATGAAGGAATCCTTCCAAATTGGGTGCCACACATGATTTGTAGATACTGCAGGCATCCATGTCTGTGACTTACATGTACATAGAACTCAAAATTTTTGCGGCTGTAGAAGGCTTTTACGAGTACCGTTAGGGTATTAGGCACCCAGGAGACTGTAATTCAGCTTGTGTTTCCGTTGTCCTCACATATTTGGGTAAAGCAGCCCATTTGTCTTCCTGTAACGAGCTTACAGAGTCTGCATGACAAAAATAGGAGGTAAATCAAGGATGAATAAAGTGAATGTCTAAATCAGTTTGAATCAATTTGTTGAATAGTTTGATCAAGTAAATGTTTGCCCAGTTTCAACATCTACTCACCAGCATGCAGGGGTGACGGAAACTAATCTCAAACAATTCGATTTTGACAAATTCTCTGAGGGTATCACGTTGTCGGGGCTGGCCTCCCAGAGAAAACCTGGGCAACTTTGTGGAGAAAAAAATTGGAATTCGGAGTATCTACTTCGAATCTTACCTAGTTTAATAAACGAGAAGTGCGTCATGAAGGTCAACAAGCCGAATAACACTCGTCTAAGTCTTTGTGGAGCTTATGTATGTTCAACGCTCATGTACAGGGGCTACATTACAGATTCATAATGAGTGTGACCATGTCCATGAGTGTGTCCTGTGTGTCAGTAAAACAATAACCTGCGATTGGACCAAACTAGCGAAACTACTGCAACAATTCTCGAAACTCCATGTACATCTTCGCCAGATTCTCTGGGACTGGTGGCCAGCGAGACTGGCACGAGCAGTTGGATGCGGGTCGTTGAATAGCAGTCGAGTTAGAGTTATAATTTACATGCGAGATAGGTATGTCAATTCTTCTTGGTTTTGCAAGTGAGTAGATGTACATGTCGAAGTGCACAATATTCCTATCGTTTGTGTTAGTTACAACTTCACTGTTCATCATGTTCCATCGAGAGCCCGATATATCATGTCGAATGCTCTCTTGACCTTTCAACGATAAAGTTATACTTTAGAAAGTAAAACAAAATTGATGATTCAATCACTTTGGATTTGCTCATGAGGAGTCGATCACATCGTACAATTTTTGTCACAACAACAATGGTAAGCGCGAGGTTATCTCGTAGAGTCCATTGCTTCTTTTGTTTTGTTTCACCTTGTCGTAAGAATCAGATTGGGAGAATGATTAGCATTCTGCTCGGGTTTTATTTCAGGCTTTTTTATATTAGCATACCATGTCCATGTTTTTCATTGTCTCACTTGTAGACTCCATGTGTGATTGCAAAGACGACCTAGCATACTTTTTTCTTTCACTCCAACAATGATGTTTGCCTTACATTCAAGGAGTTCGTCATGGACATAAGAAAGCTAGATGTTGAAAATTTACTTCATGAACTGAAATATATTCAACATATCGTGTGATGAGGACTTGGGTTGAATTACATGATGCTAGTCATACGACATGATTACAATGGACAAAAGCTTAGTCTAAGATGGGGAGTATAATAGGGCTCCACTCATGTTTCTTTAAGATTAGTTTCACACACTATACTATTATGAAAATATGCATGTTACATCCATTCATGATAAAATATCATGGAAGGTTTTAGAGTACTAACTAGTCTTTGATTCTGATAATTTTCTCACCAAAAATTCATGCTTAACCTTACCCCTGTACTCGGATGGCATATAAAATGGATATATGACAACTTTGAGATGACTTTCTAATTGATTTCATAGGATTCTTTTGAATAGTAGGACTTTTCCTTTAATAGTTATACTAGTGTTTGATAATAATTGTTAATTCCATAATGGAGAAATGTATTAAGAAAATAAGACCAATTGATATTACTGAGTTATTATTGCAACTTGTTCGCTAAATATGATAACGGAACACTCTTGCAACAACATCTTTGTTTCACTTAGGTTGTCAAAGAGGGCAGCTGGAAAAATCAGCTTTATGAGATAAAATTAAACGGTTTCAATGTCAAAATGCGAGTCAATGCAATCCTGATGCGTTGTCTTGCACATAGAATTGGACACGTAAAAAGTTTTTCACATATGTTTATTTAGAACTGGGTGAGTTTTCATCAAACCTCAACTCTTTCAATACTTTTTTCTGACTTCGTTCCTTTTTTCTCTCTTCTATTAACATGACATTTGGCAAGAGGAAATCACTATTCTATATTTAGTGCCGGTAATCAATAAAAATATTATTTCATTGTGAATGTTTTTGCAATAACTTCTAGAAAGCTATCATGTTTGTAATCCTATACCTATCAGTTTTCATATTGACTTGATACATTAGTTTAAATTTTTGATTGCTTAGTATTACACTCACTTTCATGTGTGAGTGAAATACTAATCTAGATGAAACAAATTTCCACATGATCCAGTATATATGAAGAGCATAGCATAGCTATTAATGAAAACATTGAAGCAATGAGGTTTGTGATGACAAGTTAAGACAAACAGCTCACCTCAAGAAAGTGTTGGTATGCTATCTACTTTACTTGGATTTAAAAAATTCTAAGATTGGTTTTTGTGAACGTGTTTTTAAGTTTGTGGGTCCAACTTCTTTATTGTTTTATTTCCTTTGTATTGTGTATATAAAGCAAAAGTGTTGTTGTTGTTTAGTATGCCAAGAGAAAAAAAAATAGAGAGGAAAAGTGGATGAGAGAAAAGAGAAAGTTGTGGGGGCTTGTAATCTTTGTAATCTCGAATTATTACTCGTTAGTGAAACCACTCTCCAAGCAGGAAGTAGGACATTTTGGTCCGAACCTGGATAAATCTCGTTGTCTTGTTCTTTTATTTTTCCATCGATCATATTGTTTGGATTGGAGCCACAAAGACATATATATATTGTGTTGTGCTAGTATATTCTGGATTCCGCAGGTATCCGGCCCCAAACCAATCATACAAATTGGTATTAGAGCGAGGTTTGGTTGGACTTTTGGGGGTTTTGTGTTGTAGTTTCGTGTGCACACCAAGTGTTTGATAAATTGTTTCCTTGAGACTTTGGGTTGATTTCTGATGGCGTCGACTTCAAAAATGGATATTGAGAAGTTTGATGGCTCAAATGACTTCGGGTGATGGAAAGTGAAGATGTTGGCTCACCTCGGGAACATGGGTCTCGATAAGCTTCCGGCTACGTGGGACGCGGCAAAGAAGGAGGTGTTGGAGAGTACTTTCAATACCTTGATTCTTAGTCTCGGTGATAAGGTCTTGCGGAAGGTGATTCGGTGCACGTCGGCGGGCGAGATATGGTTGAAGCTAGAGTCACTTTACATGACAAAAACGTTGTCGAGTCGGTTGTTTCTCAAGGCGCAATTTTTCACATTCAAGATGGTGGAAGGAAAGTATTTGATGGAGCATCTCGACGAGTTCAACAAGTTGATTGTCGATTTGAAGAACATTGACATGAAGTATGACGATGAGGATCAAGAGTTGGTTTTGCTTTATTCTTTTCCGAGATCGTACGAGCACATGGTTGACATTCTTCAACATGGTAGGAAGGAGATTATTCTCGACAAGGTTGTTGGAGCTTTAAAGTCAAAGGAACACAAACGATGGATAGAGATGGAAAGTCCTAGCGGAGATAGCTTGTTCACGGCTTGAGTTAGATCCAAAAAGAGAGACAAGAGAAAGAAAAAGTCATAGTTGAAGTCTCGAAACTCAAAGAAATTCGTCATCAAGTATTTTAAGTGCCATGAAAAAGTGCACTTGGTAAAGAATTGTCCGAATCGGGGAGACGGAGGGGCCGAGAGACAAGACGGAGAGGCGGTGATTGTTTAAGAAGTTGTTGATGGTTACGAGAGCTCCGATGTTTTTGTTGTCTCCACCACTTATTCCAACAAATGTTAGATCATGGACCATGGATGCTCATTCCATATGACACCGAATGAAAGTAAGTTCGAGAGCTACGAGAAAGTCGCGATGGGCGGGGTTTTGCTCGGGAACAACAAGTCATGTAAGGTGGCCAGAGCCGGTACGGTGCGGATTAAGTTGCACGATGGGATTGAGCGGATTTTGACGGAAGTGCGGCATGTCCCAAAATTACGAAGTAATCTCGTTTCACTTGGAATCTTGAACCAACAAGACTTTTCTTGGAAAGATGAAAATAATGTCTTGAAGGTCACAAAGGGATCGCTACTTTACTTGAGAGGTATTAGAGAGCGTGGGCTCTACGTCCTACAAGGTAGCACCTTGATCGGTGATGTGGCGGCGGTTACAAAACCGCAAGAGACATCGTTAGCGAGCCTTTGGCACAAAAGATTGGTACATGTGAGTGATAAAGATTTGAAGAAGTTGAGTAAGCAAGGTTTGTTCGGGGGGTGACAAGCTTGATGACTTGGAGTTTTGCGAGAATTGCATCTACGGCAAGGCCACGAGAGTGAAGTTTACACGGTCCGCTGTGACGCGAGACACGTTGAGCTATGTGCACTTGGATTTGTGGGGGCCGTCGAGTACGCCGACTCTAGATGGAGGCCAATATTTCATCATATTCATCAATGATTGTATTGAAAGGTTTGGGTCTACATCTTGAAGCATAAAGATGAAGCTTTTGAAAAGTTCAAAGAATGGAAGAAGATGGTAGAGGTACAAACTGGGAGAAACATCAAGAAACTTTGAACGGACAGTGGTTTGGAGTATTAGGATGATGAGTTCAACCGGTTCATCAAGGAAGAAGGGATGGTTAGGCACAAGACCGTCCGGGGAACCTGTGAGCCGAAACTCTCCACCCTTCAGCGTTTGTAATCCAGGTGGGGGTTCGAGCTCCCATAATCTAACTTCTCAGTTCTCAAATCATGTACTGTGAGTGTATTCAAGACAACGAGATCATGAATACTCGCTCTTCCACGGACAAATTGTCCAAAACTCAAACTAACACATTGCTGTCTGCTAAGTTCACAAGAGCAGCAGACAAGCTCTTTGTAACATAAAGATCTATCCCAACTCTGGGTGACTTTCTCAATACTACAGCCGCTGTGGGCATATCCTAGAATGAGTGCCAGATCTTGGACACACTGCCTCGGACTAAGTCAGGTGACACACCCGCAGCACAAGGTGACACCCTTCATAACAGCAATCTTCACACCCAGGGAACACGATTCTACTCTCAACACTTTGCTCGATTTTTCCTCTTAGTGATCAACTCACTCTCAGCCCAGCGACCCTCTTGGCCTTCACACACACTCTTCCGCTCAGCCCTCCGGCGGCACTCTAAGCGACTTCACGCTTTCAACACCCTCGCTCTCAAGGATTTCCCCCTCTTATCAGATTCCACCCACAATGTCGAGTATCAGATTTCAGTCTCAAACCCTCAGTTCC